AATCAGCTGTCTGTCAGCGGGAGAAAAAGAATCACCCGCTGCTCAGTATGCCATCTTGGGGGAAGTCCCTAAAATATGTTTACTGAATAAATCACAAGTGCTTGAGTTTAATCACCCCCACTAAACCATAAATCATGGTTTAAAAACCACAATGAATTCTTGTAACAAAAATGGCAAAACCAAACAAGACTTCATCATGCTTTAACATGGTGTGTGAATCCAAATTCTATTTCCATCTTTACAAATTCAATGATTGCTTGGGATAAATAAATACTTAAATTAAGTCAAAAATTATTTTAGCATTTGAATGATACCAAAGGTCATCTAAGAATCTCTGTCTAACCTAAACAGAGATGTTTATTGTAGAATTACAGAAGGAAGACTGGTATGTAAAAGAATGCCAATGTAGCTGCTAAAAATGTAGTAAGCAATATATAGGAATACTGATTGTAGGACTATAATACAGAACACAGTTATACTATTGCCATATAAAACATTGTTTTCACTTTGTGTAAATGTGAAACAGCAGTGAATCTGAACTTTAGCTAGGAAAGTTCAATTTCTGATAAGTAAATACAATTTATTTCAATTACAATTATTATTAATTGATTTTATATGCATCAAAATTGAACTTCAACATACTTCTCTTATCCCTGTCAAATACCCGGGCAGCTGATGCAACCGATAATAATTCTTTCAACTAAAATTCTTACAGAATCTTCCTGAACACAATTTATTCACATGAAAGGTTACAATTGTTTTATTTATTCACTTTATGCTACCCATTGTCAAATACTCCGGGTGATTAACAAAATCAGCATAAAATAAAAAGCAATAAAAAATAAGCAAATCTGTCTATATCATAAGCAAATTTGATAATACCAAAATAATAGACCAAAAATAAGTAAAGTCATGGGCATGCCAGATTCCAACTTTGACTCACAATGTGCCCTCCCTCTGTGTTAGATGTAAAAACCAGATCTTGAATGCCTTTCTGAAATCCAGCAAGGAAGGTACAGGGAAAGAATGAAAAAATATGCATTAGCCTGTTTCAGATGACAATCTTGCATAGACAGATCTTGGAGGAGATCTGATTGCATGAATAGATGAATATGGGAAAAGATGGTTCCTCAGATAATCTTATCAGAAGCCATGGAGGACCTTAAAGATCCTTAAATCTCTTCTGGGGACCAAGTGGCAAACAAACAACTGCTGAAGAAATGGAGTCACCCAAGTATATTGAGATATATCCAACACTGCCCAGGCACCCATATATTGTATCCGACATAGCTTCCAGATGCTTTCCAAGAGCAGTCCTATATACAGCATTATGATAATCCAAGCAAACAGTGACTAAGATATGAGAGAACTGTGAGGAGAGCCTTTTGATTCACAAATGTATCATTTATAAATGTAATTGTGCAAAAGCTATCCTTTCCATAGTGCTATCTGATTAAGTAGAAGCTGTGAATCCAAGATCCTTAAATGCAAACTGTTTCTGACCAGGGTAATCAACTCCATTCAGAGTCAGACAGTCATTTCTCTGGAATTATTTGATCCACAAAAATCTAAGCCACTCTGCCTCTGTTCCTCCTTATTCAGAGTTTGACAGCCGCCATGTACTACTAGATCACTATTTCTATTGCGTCATCTGTTCAGTCCATAACCAAGATGTGCAGCTGCACATCATTAGCATACCTATGATACCAGATTCTGTAACAACAGATGAGCTCCCACAATTGATTTCAGAGATGTCAAAAAGAAGCAAAGAGAGTAGAAAGACATGAGGCACTCCACAAGCTCTATTTTGTCCACAACAAATTAGTTGAGCAGGAGGTAAATTATAATCTTTTACAGAGGTAATGGAACATTCCTTCAATCCAAGAAGCATTAATGCTTGAAATTTAGTATTTGCCACTTTACAAGAGGCATGAGGGTCCGAGGTCCAAATGAAAAGTGCAGAGCTGACATTATATATTCATTTCCTTGGGACTCACAGGTCGAAATCAATGCAAGAACAATTCATAGGACAAAGTTGCAATCACCTCTCTTACCACCATCCAATTAGGATCTAATTCTATTAAAATCTGAGTAGTTACATTTGTCATATTGGTCCTTTAGATGTTCTAGATGACCATCTTGCCTTAAAAGGAAACAAGTCAATTTAAAAAGAGTTGCTAGGGGCATTCAGCAGATGCAATAAGAATGGTCAAGTGTTGGTTTGACATGAGCTCTAATTAAAGTCCATCTAGATTCAAAATGGGGCTTCCAGCGATGCTCTAGGCATCTCTACTGCTGCTTCTTATCATTGAGCTACTTATAAACCAAGGAATGGATTTGGGGAGACAGCCGCAGTGCAACCTAGTCAAGCACCCTGGTTATCTCTTTATTCCACTGGGCAACAGGATCTCAACTGAGCTGCTCACCAGCTCACTCAAGGGCACTCTAAAAATGTACTGGATACATTTGGTGCCCAGAGTAGGCCAATCTAACAAGTCCTTCTCCATTAGGGGTGGGTTAGTTGCAACATGAAACTCTATAGCAGTGATGGCGAACCTTTTAGAGATCGAGTGCCCAAACTGCAACCCAAAACCCACTTATGTATCGTTGGGTGCCGGGTAGGCGTGGCCCATTGGGTGGGTGTGGCTGCGGTGGTAACGGCAGACAGGGTGGGACTAAAAAGTTCAATCAATCAATTCCAACTTTGCGAGATCTTTTTTTCCCCCGCAAGAAGTTGAAATTGATTGATTGAACCGGCGGCGGAGGCCTAAAGCGAAAAAGTTTTATAAAACCCAGCTGAAGGCCTAGGACTGGGGCGAGGGCGCGTGTGCCCACAGAGAGGGCTCTGCGTGCCACCTGTGGCACGCGTGCCATAGGTTCGCCACCACAGCTCTATAGCTATCATGATGATCTATCCACAACAAGGAGCTAAGTTTGATCCCTCCTCCATTTAAGATCATGTTCTGTCTGCCCCAAGATAAAAACCAGATGTATTATATGATCCTTTATGGGTGTTGAGTCTTTAATACATTGGGCCAGGTGCACTGTCATGGCAACCAAGAACTCCTGAGCTGCTCTAGACCCTTCAGCCAGGACAGGCAGATTGAAGCTCCCCAATACCAGTTTGGTAGCCATAGTAGGAATCCTGCTTTGCAACAGGGGGAGTGATATACCAGCAGTAAGCCCAAAGACCCCTTCAAGTATAATCACACTAACAAATTCTCACATGTTTATCTAGAGTAGTATCCCTTGACGCTAGCAGAATTTCATGGATGCCAATAGCTACCACCCACCACCATCCTGGGACAAACTGGAAACCTGGAGGTGAGTGAGTAGACCTTTGAGAGATGAACTTCCCCTTTCCCATGCCATTCAGATTTTGGTAATGCAAGCCAGGTCTGCCCTTCCTTGCATAATTTTGGATGAGGATGGTTATGTTACAAATCTGGCATACAATAACAGTTGAATCCTCACTGTTCCAAGCATTTCTGCGCTGAACTATTTCAAGATAGATAGATAGATAGACTAAGACAGACAGACAGACAAACAACCTTTATCGTCATTTTTTTACTGTGGGCACAATGGCACACATTAAAAATGAAATTTAGTTGCTTGCTCTCAAAGTGTATGCATACATAACACACATTTAAACATACTGTATACAACACATGTATAGACCTACACCCTTACATATGTAACATATGAATATTAATCTTGAATACATAATGGAAGGAGGAAGCTTTAGAGTTCACAAGGTTAATACTGTATGGAACAAAACTGTGACTGAATCTGGATGTTCTGCTTCAGATACCACGGAACCTCCTCCCAGAAGGTAACAAGGAAAACAGGTCGTGAAGAGGATGTGTAGCGTCCCAATCGTACGGACCCTGCTCAAGCAACGCTTATGTGCTATGTCCTGGATGGAAAGGAGGGAACTGCCGGTAATCTTTTTTGCCATCCTCACCATTCTCTGCACTGCCTTCCTGTCTGAAGCAGTGATGCTTGTAAAACAGACTGTGATGCTGTATGACAGGATGCTCTCAATCGTCCCTCTGTAGAAAGTGCTAAGGACAGGGGAAGGAAGATGTGCTTTTCTCATGCAACATAGAAAATGCAGGCACTGCTGTGCCCGCTTCAGCAGTGTCTCGCTGTTGAGCGACCAAGCCAGCCTACTTGTTAACTGCACACTCAGGAATTTGATCCTGGTAACCATTTCCACAGGTGAATCATTAATGCACAGAGAAGTGTGGCTGTGCCTGCCTTTTCTGAAATCAACAATGATCTCTTTTGTTTTTCCTGTATTTAAAACTAGGCTGTTTTCCTTACACCAGTTCACCAAACGCTCAACCTCCTTGCCGTAAGCACCCTCATTGTCATCATGAATAAGGCCCACTATTGTTGCATCATCTGCAAACTTCACAATATGGTTGGTGGCAAACCTAGCACAACAGTCATGGGTCAACAGGGTGAACAGCAGCGGAGTTAGGATGCAGCCCTGAGAACCTGTGCTCAAGAAAATGGTGTTAGAAATATTTGTTCAGCTTGCACATATTGGGGCCTGGTAGTAAGAAAATCAAGATTCTAGTTGCACAAAGAAGTGTTTAAGCCTAAAAAAATAAGAATCCATATATCATTACATTAGGGAAGGCAGACTTTCAGATTATTTGTAATATATTTCTGATGAAGTGCTAAAGAATTCATTCTTTTTACTGATAACTGAAGAGCTTACAGGTGAAATGACGATTTCTTGAATTGTCATATGTCTGTTGAACACAGTGCCATATTTGTGATACTGTTGTGGCCTTACTAATATCCTGGTACATTATGAAAATATTCTGAGAAATCTATGAAAAAGGGCAAGTTACATGCTTCAAAAGCCATACTTTTTATACTTGGATAGGTTGAGTATAATGCTTCTTTGTAGTTCATAAGAGCAGGTCTGCTACTGTTTTTTTCTTAATTAAAGCAGAGAAGAATTATTTTCTAAATGGTCTACTTACTCTCCACACACGCAGATAGTCACCACTGGTTGCCAAAAGGTCTGGATAAACTCCTTTGGTATCTGGTATCCACATGAGCTTGGTAGTAGGATAGGGGTGATCAAAAGTATTTCTGCAAATGAATTCAGAGCTTTCTTCATCCAACCCAACAAGCTGAACCTATGAGAAAAAAGAAAATATATATGTGTGTGTGTGTGTGTGTGTGTGTGTGTGTGTGTCTATCTCTGTGTGTGTTATGTGCATGGACGGGCATACAAACACATTCATTCATATTCCAGTTCATCTTTCACGTACATGTTCTGAAGTTCCAAATCAGAACAAAGACCAACATAGCTAAGGAAAAATGGTTACAAGTGAAACTGATCAAGTAAAACTAAATAAATTCCAATATCCAGATGGTATCTATCTAAGACCTCTTGAAGTAGTTAAATATAAAATTGCCAATCTTTCACAAAAATAATACAATTCTTTTAAACAAAGGATTGGAAAATGTGATTCCAATTTTTCTAAGATTAAGAGGCAATAAAGGAAGTTAGGGTCTGTTTCTGGGAGGAAAATTGAAATAATTGTTAGAGAAAATAATACATAGGACTAATCTGGCTGAAAAGAAACCAAAGAGAAGTCTTGTCTCACTAATCTTCCAGCTTCTTTGAAAATGTCAAGAAGAGTAACCCAAAAGATATTCTACACCTGGACTTTCAGAAAATCTTTAACAATCACCAAAGGCTTCTGAGCAAACTCAGCTGCCTTGGGACAACAAATGTTCTTATGCAGGGGTCTTCAAACTTGGCCCTTTTATGACTTGTGGACTTCAACTCCCAGAATTCCTCAGCCAGGCACGTTTGAAGACCTCTGTTCTTATGGACAGGCAAGTTTTTTTTTAATTAAAAAAACTGAGAACAAGAATAAATGAACAAGATTATACTTGTAAGACATGAAAAAGAAATTTCTCAGGGACTAGTGTAAGGACTGGTACTTTTTATTTGTATAAAAACTATCTGGAATTAGGGCTGATCATTGAAGTTGCCATGCTGAATACATAAATGATTACATACCTAACTATTTAGATCTGCCTTTAAATCAAAAAGTAATTGTGATGTGCTACAAAAACAACCTTCCAATCTGGATGAATAGGCTTCAGAATGATGAATGCAGTTCACTACAAATAAATGTAGGGTGCATGTTGGCACATAAATTTCAAATGAATTCCAAAAATGCATGTCACTGATTAGAAAAAGTATCTTGGAGTCAAGGCGGATGGCTCAATGACTATATCAACCAAGTTTGCAGCTGCTATAAAAATGTTAAATTCCAACCTGGAGTTATTAGGAGAACTAAAAATAGAATTGTCAGTATAATATTCCCTTTATATAAATCTATGGTAAAACCACACATTAGCTACTGTTTTGGACACATTTTAAAAATGATATTACAGAATTAGAAAAGGTGCAAAAAAGGGCTACTACAAATATTAGAGTGGAATACCTCCTATATGAGGAAGGATTACAGTAACTGGGGCTCTACTTTGGAACAAAGAAGGTCAAGGGGAGACACAACAGAAACTAATACTAATGACTGTTTACTATTTTCTGAAACAGAATGCATGAATTAAATAACCTTGTAAATTTAAGTTATAAATAAATGCTCCTTGTAGAAAAACAGCAAGGAAAATAGTTATAGACCTCCAGTTCAGGCATGACTTTCCCAAATGAGTCCATTTGGTCACTATTTGAATAAATTCAGCAGGGCTCTTAAGACTTAACTAAAATACTGAAGGAACATGCAATAGGCATATCTCAAGCAAACTTTACATCGTGGACTTATCAAGTGTAAATGCAATAACACCTTCTAAAGCTGTTAAGATTGAAAATGAATACATTCCTTTCTCACTTCCTAGAGCAGCAGAAAGTGCGCAGATGAAGTTTTTCCTCCTTTCTTCATCACACAACAACAACAAAATGTCCTAATGGCCCCTGCCTATCGCGCAGCAGTCTGACCACCAACGGGAAGGGGCAGAGATGCTCCGAGAGCAAACCTAACCAAACTTCCCGAAGCAGCCCTGCCTCTCGCGCACTCTGATCCTCCTCCCACCCTTTTTGACGCTCGCTGCCTTTAACTGGGCCGCTGGCGGCGGAGGGGACCGATTGGGATGCGCTGAACGAAGCCCAAAGCTGCAGTGCGGAACCTGACACTAAGCCGGTCTCAACAATGACTTGTTCTCGCCCACTGACCTGCCAGGTGGCTCACCTTATTATTGTACTCTTCTACGAAGCTGCCTAGGGCAAGTCGAAATCGCTTGTCAGGCCTGACGCTCCAGTTCATGGCGTAGACGGTCCATGGCGCCTCGTACTTGTAGATCTCCTTGCGCTTCCCGTGCAACGACATGGCGGGCGGGAAGGCTTACTCCGTCAGCCGCTCACGACCTCCTTTCGAGGTATCGCTCCCGACAGTCTTTCTTCACCTCACAACGACGATGGCTAACCCTACTCCTCCATTCACCCTATTCAAACTCTGATTTCTCATTGGTTCTTGACCATGCCATTCCTCAACTCCAAGGTCTCTCATTGGTTTTCCGAAACGTCCACCTCGCTCAATCTCCGAAAAAGATTTACATATTGGCCATCATGGAATTAACCATTAGTGGAGAAAGTTGTCGTTCTTGGGTAAAGCCCGCCTCTTTCATTGCATTTGAACGTATCAAGTATGATTTAGTTAGTCGCTCTCATTAAAAAAAAAGAAGAAAGAAAGAAAGACATAGAGATAGAAATATAGAACTGGTTTCTCTGTGCGTTATTTTGGTTTGTTCAGAGCATTTGACACGATTTAGGAAGTTTCATCGAAAGTCGGAAAGGTGGGACGTATTTAGAAAAATGTAGTAACGATAGTAATTAAATGCTGTTTCTAATACAAGTGTAATTTCTTGTGCTTAATGCTGTTATCCTTTACTTTAATATGGGTATGTAGAATCCTTTTTTGTTACGGTAGTACCCCATGATTTTCCAACTTTTTGGCTTGTTTGGGCTGCTTTGAGCGAAGAGGAATTGTCTTGGGCTGCATATAAAATATATAATATTGTTAATGTCTATATGTATATACATAACATATACATAAAAACACAACAACATAGGCTTCTTTTATCTTTCATCTTTGTTATCTTGTGGAGCTGCATTACTAGGTATCCAGGGGCTGCATGCGGGCTGCGGGTTGGACACAACTGTTATAAAAAATAAATAATGATGAGGTAATTATAAATATATTCAAACAGTTGTCCTGACTATAATGTATATTTCAAGAAGGCACAATGTAGTAATCACTATTAGTCCTGGTGGCCCCTGTTAGGATCGTGTTGGTCCAGGTTTTGATCCCAGGCTTGATACCCATCACTGGCTAATTTCTTAGCCAAGATGGACTGCAAGACTCTGCATACACTGGCTACTTACTATTTTATGTGTCCATCACTTAATCTTATAATCAGATTGGATTTCTAAAGCACATACACTCAAAGAAAATGGGGCGGTAGTTCACATACAGATAGCCCAAAATTTCTGTTGCTAAGACAGTTAAGTGAGTTTTACCCCATTTTCTTGCCAGAGTTGTTAAGTGAATCACTGCAATTTTTAATTTTTAAGTAATAACACAGTTGTTAAATGAATCTGCTTTCCCCATTGACTTTGCTTGTCAAAAGTTCCAAAAGGTGATCAGATCATCTTGGGTCACCACAATTGTTTGAATTTTGATCACATGATCATAGGGATGCTGCAATGGTCACAAATGTGAAACATGGTCATAAATCACTTTTTTCAGTGCTGTTGTAACTTTGAATAGTCACTAAATGAATGGCTTTAAGCTGAGGACAATCTATGCAAACCCAACATGGTTGCTCCCTTTTAGAATAAATACTGTTAGACAAAGCACAGAAAATTTATTTTTTATTTTATTTTAATTAGATTTTTTTTAAATCCTGCCTTTATTACTTTACAAGTAACTCAAGATGACAAACATACATAATACACCTTCCTCCTCCTATTTTCTCCATGACAACCCTCTAGGTGGGTTGAGATGAGAGTGAGTGACTTGCCCAAAGTCCCTTTTCAAAATACTTTAATGCCTCTATCAAAACACTACATAAATGTTTCTTTAGTTTTGTCCATGAATATATTAAAAAGCATCACACCATCCTTGTCTTACTCCCCAATCAGGTTTGAGCCATCTGCTAATCATGTCATTTCTTCTCATGCATGCTCTGCTTCTGTCACATACTACTTTTTGTATATTCAGAAACCAACCTCCTATTGTGAAGAGCAAAAATTTGCAAATTTTTTTGATGCAAATTTTTTCTCATAATTTTTTTGGGTATACTTTAGAACAGGATTCTGCCAAACAAATTAATCCCTCTGCATAATTCATTCCTTTTTTTCTTTTTTGGGGGGGATATTAGTTGTGTGCTTCCAATTATCAAGGCTGAAATAGTTTTCACACCCTTATTAACATTTCTCTAATTACCCCAGATATATCTTAAGGCTTACTATTTTTCAACATTTGAATAGCATGTAATTACTTCCTTTTTGTCATTTTTTGATCTTGGAAACAAACATTTGTAGCATGTGTTTCAGTTTCCTTTTTTGACATGTCATTATTCCTACAGAATCTCACATTATTCCTTCAAGCATTGATCTCCACACACGTGGGTTTTGATTCATTACTTTTCCATGTCATATACCAATACCTATAATTATGAATGATCCTTCATTCATAATTAAATCTACATCTTTGCTTCCTTGCATGTATTTGTCAAGTCAATTCTACATGATCAGATCACCTTTATTCAAATCTACTAATACCTAAGAGTGTACCTTATTCCCATCACTCAATGCATCTCCGTGGACTGGAGCTCTGTCAATTTTCGTACCAATCTTTAAGAAAGGAAAGAGAAACGATCCTGCTAACTACAAACCAATTACCTTGATTAATGTCATCAGCAACCTTTATGCTAATCACCTCCACAATAAACTTAAGGATTGGCTGGATCAGGGAAATCTGATAGCAGAAGAGCAGATTGGCTTTGTAAAAAGTAAATGTACCATTATTCAATGTTTGGTCTACAGCACTTAATTAAAAATTATTCAACCAATAATGCAGTATCATTGTATACTCCCTTCATTGATCTTAAGGCAATTTTTGATTCTGCATCCAGGACCAAATTATGGGGAAAGCTGAAAGTTGCATCAATTAGTTGTTGGTTTCTTCATTTAATTTGTATCCTACAAATCAATATCATTTTCAAGGTCAGGTGAAATATGCAAGGGTTCCTCTTGAAACCAGTTACAACTCAAAAATGGATAAACTGGGATGTTTAGTACTTTCCAGAACATTAATAGGCCTCAAAAGAGCTCTAAGAGCTTTGGTTCAATATTGTAACATGATAATCTGGAAATAAAAACCAATATTACAGCTTTTGCCAAAAGGCTGAAGCTCCATTTACAGAGCATTAATGGCCATAAAATAGAACAAGTGACTAGCTTTAAGTATTTGGGAGTAGTTATGCTTATCACTGGCTATCTCAAAAGAAACCAGCATGGCTGCATAAAGAACTCTCTGATAAATTGAAAGATAAAAAGGACAAGTATAAAAAGTGGAAAGAGGAGCACATAACTAAGGCAGAATGTCAGAAAATAGCCCGTGCCTGCAAGGATGAAGTGAAGAAAGCTAAGACTCAAAATGAACTAAGGCTTGCGACCAAAGTTTTACATTTCAACATGTAAAAAACAAGAAAAAAGTTAAGGAAATGATTTGTCCATTAGTGGGGAAAAGTGGCAAGAAGGTGACAAGCAACAGGAAGAAAGCAGAACTATTTAACTCGTTTTTTGCATCTTTACACAAAGGGAAAAAACAGTCCAACCTATCAAAAACAGATTAGAAACACAAGATAGACAAGAAAATGGTAAGTGAGCACCTGTCCAGCCTAGACGAGTCCAAATACCAGGACCAGATGGATTACACCCCAAGATTCTCAAGGAACTGGCAGATGTGATCTCAGAACCACTGAACTATATTTTTCAAAGATCCTGGAGCACTGGGGAACAACCAGAGGACTGGAAAAGAGCTGATATAGTTTCCATCTTCAAAAAAGGAAAAAAATAGATCCTATCAGCCTAACCTCAATACCTGGGAAAATTCTGGAAAAGATAATCAAACAACGAATCAGCGAACACCTAGAGGCAAACAAAGTCATTACTAAAAGCCAACATGGGTTTGTCAAAAATAGATCAAGCCAGACAAATCTTATTGCATTCTTTGACCAAGTGACAAAATTAGTGGACCAGAGGAATTCTGTGGATATAATTTACTTGGATTTTAGTAAGGCATTTGATAAAGTAGATCACAACCTACTACTTGATAAGACAGAAAAATGTGGGTTAGACAGCATCACCACCAGATGGATTCGTAGTTGGCTTACCGCCATACTCAGCATGTAGTCCTCAATGGAACTGCATCTACATGGAGGGAAATGTGTAGTGGAGTGCCCCAGGGCTCTGTTCTGGGCCCAATGCTCTTCAACATCTTCATCAACGATTTGGATGAGGGGATAGATGAGGAACTCATCAAGTTTGCAGATGACACCAAGCTGGCAGGAATAGCCAACACTCCAGAAGATAGGCTTAAAATACAGGAGGATCTGGAGAGACATGAACACTGGGCGCTATCTAACAAAATGAAATTCAATGGTGAAAAAAGTAAGGTTCTACATTTAGGCAAGAAAAACCAAATGTACAGGTATAGTATAGGGGGTACCTTGCTCAATAGTAGTAACTGTGAGAGGGACCTCAGAGTCCTAGTGGACAATCACTTAAATATGAGCCAGGAGTGTGCTGCAGCTGCCAAAAAAGACAACACAGTGCTAGGCTGCATTAACAGAGGGATAGAATCAAGATCACGGGAAGTATTAATACCACTTTACAATGCCTTGGTAAGGCCACACTTGGAATACTGCTGTCAACGCTGCAAATACTGTATATTCTTGCTTTGATCACCACGATGTAAAAAAAGGTGTTGAGACTCTAGAAAGAGTACAGAGAAGAGCAACAAAGATGATTAGGGGACTGGAGGCTAAAACATATAAGGAACAGTTGCTGGAATTGGGTATGTCTTAATTTAATGAAGAGAAGGACGAGGGGGGACATGATAGCAGTGTTCCAATATCTCAGGGGCTGCCACAAAGAAGAGGGAATCAAGCTATTCTCCAAAGTGCCTGAAGGCAGGACAAGAAGCAATGGACGGAAACTAATCAAGGAGAGAAGCAATCTAGAACTAAGGAGAAACTTCCTGACAGTTAGAACAATTAACCAGTGGAACAACCTGCCTCCAGAAGCGGTAAATGCTCCAACACTGGAAGTTTTTAAGAAGAGACTGGACAGCAATTTGTCTGAAATGGTATAGGGTTTCCTGCCTTATATTATTATTATTATTATTATTATTATTATTATTATTATTATTATTATTATTATT